CTAGCTTTCTATCTATCTAGCTATCTATCTATCTAGCCATCCAGCTGTCTATCCAGCTATCTAGCTATCGAGCTATCTAGCTAACTATCTATCTAGCTATCTAGCTATCTAGCTTTCTATCTATCTAGCTATCTATCTATCTAGCCATCCAGCTGTCTATCCAGCTATCTAGCTATCGACCTATCTATCTAGCTATCTATCTATCTAGCTAACTATCTACCTATCTATTTAGCTATCTATCTATCTATCTATCTATCTATCTAGCTACCTCTTTATCTATCTAGCTACCTCTTTATCTATCTAGCTAGCTATCTATCTAGCCATCTATCTATCTAGCTATCTATCTAGCCATCTATCTATCGAGGTATCTAGCTATCTATCTCTCTAGCTATCTATCTATCTAGCTGGCTATCTATCTATCTAGCTATCTATCTACCAAGCTATCTATCAGCTATCTATCTATCTATCTATCTATTTATCTATCTGTCTATCTATCTATCTATCTATCTGTCTATCTATCTATCTATCTATCTATCTATCACATGTAAACCTGTCAGCTTTCCAGAGAAGGTTAGTTCGCAAAAACCAACTAATGTAACTTGGGTTTAAGTTTAAATAAAAAAAAACGGGAGGGGGGGATTGGGGGGAGGCGCTGCTCCCCCCAAAGCAGAATGCAAGCACCTCTTCTCACATGTTACGTTGCTAGTTTTCAAGAGAAGGTTGGTCATGTGATACTCAGGGATGTAAATACTGTGCAAAATGCATCTTACATGAAAATCAAGTATTTAAAGCAGGCAAAGCAAAAAAAAAGCAGACAAGCAAAAAAGCAGAGAAGCAAAGAAACAGGAAACGCACAAAAGCAAAACAGCAGAAAGGCAAAGAAGCAGGAAAAGCAGAAAAGCAGAGAAACAGGAAAAGCAGGAAAAGCAGAGAAGCAAAGAAACAGGAAAAACAGAAAAGCAAAAAAGCAGAAAAGCAGAGAAGCAGAGAAGCAGGAGAAGCAGAAAAGCAAAAAAGCAGAAAAGCAGAAAAGCAGAGAAGCAGGAAAAGCAGGAAAAGCAGGAAAAGCAGGAAAAGCAGGAAAAGCAGGAAAGCAGAGAAGCAGGAATCCAAAAATAATTCCTAAACCTGATCAAAAAAAAAATCCTAAAATAATTAGCCCTCCAATAAAAAGTGTTCCTTCTCAGATTGATGGTCATTCATCCCATGATACCCAATTATATCACATTAATATCCCCTTATATATATATAATGAATATCGCGGGACTTGCCTTTTCACCATCATCACTGCTGTAAGTTCCCATATTTACTGATGAGAATGCCAACATATGTCAACATTTAAGCTAGTAAATCACCATGTGTTGTTCCACATTTCGTGTTTTACCCTCCTGCACGCTAACACAAAGATGTGGAACACCCAGCATTTGTAGATCATTCGAATCATTCTCCGAACTTCACAAACCATAAGGGTTTTCCCCATGGTTTTCCCCATCTATGTTCCCTTTACCCTAGGGATTCCTAGGGATTCCTAGGGATTCCTACACATTCCTAGGGATTCCTAGGGCAAATCAGCCCCATATTCGTTAAAACTGGGCCGCCCCACTCCACGGCCACCAGCTCCACGGAACGGTTGAAGCAGAGCTGCAGGTCCAGGAAGACCGTCTCCTCGGCCTCGGGGTTGCCATGGCTTGACCCCTCTGGTAATGACTAACAGTTTGCTATTGAAAATGGCAATCTTTAATGGGAAAATCCACTACAAATTTAACAGTTTGCTATTGAAAATGGCCATTTAAATAGTGGATTTACCCATTGAACATGGTGATTTTCCATAGTTATGTAAACGTTTACCAGAGGGTAGATGGTTGGTTTGGGAACTGATGGGTGACGTGTGATGTGTTTTGTCATGTCCCAACTGAAAAGAGGTGGTTCTTGACCGAATTCGCTTAGGACTCAGGTGGATTTCACTTGTATTAGCCGACCGTCAGACCAACCCCATCCTGGGAACCGGGCTTCGCACTTGGCCTGTGCAGATTGGCATGTGAATTGGATTGAATTGGGCGCCAAACTTGGATGGAAATGGAATGGTCTATATGGGGGTCTCCTAAAAAAGGGGTCCCCCCAAATCATCCAAGTCATTAGACGATTTTAGTATTGAAACCCATAGTGACTTGGGGAGCTCTATTTTAGGAAACCTCCATATCGGTTTATTACTTTTAAAATGATCAGAATCTGTGGTACCTGCCCAAGTGAATCTCCGCGATCATCCACATAGTCACGATGACACAAAATGACGCATAGAGAAATCAATAGATAGTATGTGTATATGTGTATATATATATATGCATGTGTGTGTGTATGTGTATGTGCATACTGTACAATACTGTACATAATACCACTTGTGTCCCCCGACCCAATCTAAGTCGTTATCTATCCATCCATCCATCCATCCACCCATCCACCCACCAGACATCAACAAAAAAGTTGTAAAACTGAATATATAATAATATATAATAGTCAATTATTATTACTATGAGTATTAAAGTAATAGCAATAATAATAACAATGGTCGTACATGGTCGTACTATATATTAATGTGTACATACATGTGTAATTAATATACGTACACATGCATGTTACATATACCTATACAGTATGTGTTGCCCAGGCCTCCATTCCACATGTCCTGGCAGACTCTCGTCGCGAGGGCCTGCGTCAGGAGACTCTAGGGCCCTAGGGAAGCAACAAACGTGGCTGGAAAATCTGCTCGGAAAATCTGCTCGTGCATGTTTCATGATTCAATGATGTTTTAGCTGGTTAGGTCAATACCCAATTTATACCAAGCATTGCGTCTATAGTTTCTGTTTAGCTTTCAACATGTCTTGGGGTCACTGGTTAGATTAATACATCCATATGTACAACACAGAAAGAATGCAAATGACCAGTTAGAATTCACCATCCAAATTACATCAAATTACATTATCCTTATTTTCTGATTGTCAACTCAAAAGGATGGGATGCATATAAGCATCAATCAACCCCTCCCCTGATATTGAATAGCCACTTGGAAACCTTCCGTATTGGATCTCTTCATTTTGGGGCCGCTGGAAAAAGCCTTTTTGATACTGAGGGGATGGGATACACAAATCAAACATGGCTTGCGGGAAAATGCCCCGAGCTTCATGATTCTTAAATATCGCACTACTAGCCATTATAAGCCATTAGGAACCATTATTGACCAGTGTTAACTATTTTATTATTAGCCACTATTCACCACTATTCAGCATAAACCACTATTGACCATCATTGAGCACGATGAACGATCATCAACCACTATTAACCATGGTTAACCCGTGTGAACCAATTCATCACCCTGACCCACCTGGCCCGCTGAATGGGCAAGCGCCCCTTCTGCAGCAAGCCATCAGTGGGGCGGTCCTCAACCTGTCGCCAGAATCAGGAGGAAAGTGGGGGGGAAAAGTAGTTGAAACATGTTGGAACCAAAATGAGATCCTGATTCTTGTGCAGTTTCCACGAGTTCCGAACTTTTCGGAGTTGACTCTAAGCAGCGAATCACACTTTGCTAGGATGCCAGGTTTGGTTGCTTCTGTCCCCGTTTTTGCTAGCAAAATCCCACTATGTGTTTGTTGGTGCTTTTTGGTTCTGAAAGCCCGATGGAGCTTGGTTCAGTCCCATGGCTTGTTGCAATTCCCCTCTCTTTGTCTTTGACTTGGCGGTTTCCATCTCAAGAAAACTCCCAAAATATCCCAGGTGCTATCCTATCACCTCCCAAAACCCCAAAACCCTGATCCGCCTCATCTGGTAGCAGCTCGATGGATACCACTGGGCCACCTGGAGGCTTTTCTCATGGATTGTCTGGAACAAAAAAACTATCATGGGGGCACTTTTTGCAGCAATCATGGGGAGATATGGGGATATTGGGATATCTATTGTCAGTGGGTTGTCTGAAAATGATGGGAAAAGCATAGAAAAGCTCAAAATCTTATGCTAAGGACCATCAATTTCCAGGGTCAAAATTGGCTGCAACTTAGGGTATTCCCTGCGGATTTTCCTCCAAATGACCTTCCGAGCTGGTATCATCCCACTGGATCAGATCCGCACCAGTCATCCTTGTCATCCTTATCTCATCCATGTATCAATACCCTCTGGTAATTTAACATAGCTATTGAAAATCGCCATAGAAATAGTGGATTTACCCATTGAAATGGTGATTTTCCATAGTTATGTAAACGTTTACCAGATGGTAAATTGATCATCCTATCCCGTCCCCCTAGCCTATGCGAAATATCCCCAAACTTCACACCCTGCAGCCTCTCACTGTCGTCGCCCAACTCAGCGAAAGAAGCGCGCGCAACATGGCACGGAGCTCCGCGGCTCATGGCAGTGGCTTTTTTGAAGCGCTCCATGGCTTTTTCTACTGGTATTAATGATTTTTCCATGGATGTTCCATGGGTTTTCCATGGTTTTCGTGGCAATGTTGGCCCTTTGTTCTGGGATCTACACCAGTCTTTGCCATCCAATGGTTGGTATCTTTTTGGGAATGCAGGGCTCCCAAGCTTAAAGAGGTCGAGAAGCCAATTTTTCCAACCATCTTGAGGATGATTTGATTTCGATATCTTGGACACCGCCGGGCCCCCATGTACCCCTTGTTTCTCAAAGGAACCTGAACCTCCCGTACAGTTGATCAATTGTCCAGACCCGATGGGGCAAACATTTCGGCAAGACTGCACCTGCGATGCCATTTCAGTTTGCAAGCCCGTGGGCCACGGAGAGGATCCACATGCAGTCCCCGAAACTCGTAGTAGCAACGGATTACAGGCTGAATGAAGGCGTCACTTTTTGTAGGCTCGGACTGCAGGTCAAAAACAACTGCACAACCAAGCGAAGCGCGCCTAGAGATTTTATCCACCGGAAGAAGCTCCCTGGAATTAGGGACGGGATTCAAGGCCCCGCCAGGTCGATCATAGCCAACACCGCCTGACCTCCCCGCACTTTTTTGCCCCCGTGGTCCAACAACTCTGCCATCACCTGGCCCAGTTGGAGGGAGTCTGGATGACCCTGGGACCATTTGGACGTGACTTCTGAATCTCCAGCCTTGAGGGCCAACAATTTCACTGCTTCATGATTTTTGTTCTCCCTCCATGGTTATAGAAGTGGTTAAATATGGTTAAATCATATTCTTCCAAGGTCATCAAGTTCCAAAACATATTAAATCATATGGCATCGGTCAAAATATGGGCACCAATGGACCCACAAAATGGTGGTTGCTTGTGATCATCCTAGTTTTGAGGCTTGATCATTTTCATACCCCGGGTGGGTTCCTAAGTCATAGGGGCTACCCCATCATCCAAATCCAATCATGGATGTGGATGATATTCGCTTAGCATTGTGTTGTTTGCAAAATTCCACAAAAAAGTCACCATTAGTTCAATATCATCGAGCCATCATAAGTTCAATATCATCAATCCATAGTCACCATAGTCCCGAATAGCCAAATCATCCAAGTCACCATTTTTTAAATTATTGAAACAACGCCGTGGTGACGACCGGGGAATTTCCGCCTGCAAGGCGCGGAGCAGCACCTCCGGCTGTGGACTTCCGGGAACGTTCTCGGCCCCGGTGGACCTTTGGAGGGTGGAGGTCGAAAAGTGTGGAAAAAGCGGGGGACTATTCTTCCAATACTGGGAAAATATCTGGGAAAATATCTGGGAAAAAATCTGGGAAAAAATCTGGGAAAATATCTGGGAAGATATTTGGGAAGATATCTGGGAAAATATCTGGGAAAAAATCTGGGAAAAATATTGGGAGAACATTGGAAAATCATTTGGAAAGACACAATGTGGAATCGAACTGAATTTGACGCGCCCTTCTCTTTTAGGGGGTTGCGGGAGATACATTTCATGATGCGTCATGCTAAAGCATCATGGGCATCGGTGGGATATTTCATCATCATGTTTGAGATGTGTTGCATTTGCAAAGGATCTTGCCAACGAGTTGATGTTTGAGTTGATGATTTGCTTGGTTGACTTGCATCGTGATGACATAAAGTGTGGTACGGTATGATGTGTTCCAGCTACGAGCCAGCTCCTGATGCGACATAGGGATTCCCCAAAAGCAACGCAAAGGGCAAGAGCGCCCATGGTGCAGGAGAACTCGTTGAGAGAACCCCACTTTGCAATGAAGGAATTGAAATCTTTGTCCTGACAAGAACGGGGTGTCTGGGAAAAATTGAACACAAGTTGGCTTGAAAATTGAGGTGGAACCAGTGGTTATCAACCTGGTTCCCTTAGGTCGCAACGGATACCCCCAAACCCCATCCCAGTGGTTATCAGCATCATGGAATCTCTGGTTTCCTGCTTTGCCCAGTCCAGCCATCCGTAGTTTGATGAGGGAAGGGAGAACAAAAAGCTCTGTTCAGTCATGTTCAGTCTTTCTCCTTGGAATTACTATGAGTCATATCCCAGAAATGTTGATGGATTCAATGGGTTCCAATGGTTTTTGCCATTTTTTTGCCTGTACAATCACCCTCTTTTCATCGGGCCACGGGGTCGGCGCAGCTGTGTCATTCAAATCGCAGGGCCACTGGACTCCCAAGCGCTTGAGAGTCGGCAGCACCGGCACCGGATGCGCCTGGACAACATGGCAATGCGAAATACACACTTCATGGGGATTTAATGGGGAAAATAGGGAAAATCATGAATGATTATTAATGGTGGTTTCATGGGAAAAATCATCCATCACTTGTGGTTCAATGGAAAAATCATCCAAAAATGGAGGATTGTCCATTGCCATGGTTGATTACCAGAGGGTTACTCCAGTGATCCATGGATTCCAACGTCCAAAGCCGGGGCCCAACCTCGGTACTCAGCACGAAATGATCCAACGGGAGAGCGGAGTCTGAGGAGAAGAGAAGAAAGAGGTACCTGGACACGGCGAAAAAACCGGCCTTCACAACGTGTTTTTTTTTCGAAGGTGGCAGTGGAAAGGCCCTGGATTTGGCACATAATTATATACAGTAAGTCATCCATAAAGAAACAGGTGATGTCACGTGTCAATACGTGTCAGGGTTCTGATGGCTGTGTTGCTTTTGGTATTTGCCCAGCCGGGCCAGGCTGGCACTTCAAGGTTTCGGCGGTGAAGAAGGAGGGCATCTCGTCCCGCTTGGACGAAGCCTTGTTGACATTGTGCAGGCTACAGAAGCCATAAGGCCTTGGTAAAAACGGCACAGAAGGGCAGCAATCCACAGATTGATCAGATTGCGTGGCCACTTTCCGCATCAACATCCTATGTGTTAAAGAGTAAGGGAATAGCACCCAAGTTTCGTGCTCTTGTATGGCACAGCACACTGGGGTGATGAAGTAGCAGCTCTTCACAAATGGGATCCCCAGTGGCAAACAAACTTGGCAATGGTAAGATCTCCCCTTTGTAGATGATATTCCCATGGAAAATGATGCCAAATTGGTTAGGGAATGATGTTCCATTCCGTTTTGACCGGGCCATCCACCAGCACTCCGAGGCGCGTCTTCCTTCGGTAGAAGGCGGCCAGAAGCCGCTGGCCCCAGTTGCGGTAGATCTGCAGCTTGGTGGTGCGCCACATGAGATACAGACTCTCCACCTCGGAAATCCAGTGATGGGGGACATGGGGAGGTGAACTTTCTGAAAAAACCATTCTGATGATCAGCTTGAAACATGGGCACACAAAATGGCACACAAAATGGCACACAAAATGGCACACAAAATGGCACTCCCGCCCAGGAGCTGTCTCAGGTCTCAGGATGTTGTGCATGGACTGCAAGTCATCCTATCAGGTCATCTCCAGAACTGGATTCTCAAATATCACATTATATCATATGATATCATGATATCATGATATCACATGGCAGCTCTTGCCCAACGAAATCCACATGGGATAACTCCCATCGCCCCTCCTGCAAGCCATGCCCGTTGAAGCGGGTAATCTCGGGAGCCATATCCGTCGAAGTGCGGAAGTACATGTGCACACCTCAGATGGGGGCCTCCATTTATCGGCCCAGTAGATGCGTAAAAACTGCGGGGCGTAGAAAAAGCAAAGGCTTGTGTGACCACCAGCGAATTCGGAATGACTGCCATTGAATCTCATAGCTTGCATCCCTACAAGGTGGTGCCCCTAGTTGGTTTGTTAACCCACCAAACTCTGGTGGCAATCACAATGACAAGAACATAGATTTAGGCAACTAAGCCAATTTTGGTAACCCAATGGGGCACCACCTTGTACCCTCTGGTAAACTAACATAGCCTTAGCTCGTTGATTTGCCCATTAAAAAATGGTGGTTTTCCATAGTTATGTTAGCGTACCAGAGCGCAGAAATCATAGTAAATCCCATTAAACATCCATTTATCCCAGTAATATCCCATGAAGTCACTAAAAAATACCATTATTAATGTGCCATGAAAAATGCTATGCTATTTGGGACTCAGAAACCCCCCAACTGCAACGTATCCGCATCCCACATCGCCAGTTTCCACCAGGCTGCAGGACTGCGTGAGCCTGAGGGATGTGATTACTCTCATCCGAACCCATCCCATGGTGGCATCATGTGGCATCATGGGGATATAAGGGATATCATGTGGATATATATATATGTGTATATATATATATATTTATTTATATATATATACATAAGGGATATGTGATATATGATGATATATGACATAATCCCATGTATTCCTAATATGAACCACCCCCATTATATGGTCCCTACTGTTATTTCAGCCCCTACTAAAGCATTCTGGAAGCCACTAAAGCATAGTTTCTGGAGGCGGGGGAATATAATATGAATAACAAGGGGGAAGGCCCGGGGAACACCCCCATTGAGCTCAATGAGTTTAATCTTCCTATCTACTACCTCCATTTAGCTCGGGGATTCCCCAGCGACCTGCCATCTTTGATGACACCCAGCAGGGTACCACTCGAGGGGTTATGCCGGGCGCCCCAGATCACGGTCGCAGTGCATGCAAGAAACTTATGAGCCAAGGTCAGCTCGGCCGCACGATCCTTCTCCAGCAAATGCGGTTGAACAGAGCCTCAGCACTGGGATATTGTCTAACATTTGGGAAGGGAAAAAAAAAGCGCAGGCACTCGATTTTGCCCTTGCCATGCCAAGAAAAATCACAAACTCTCTCTCTCTCTCTCTCCATCGCCTTCTCGAAGAGTTCAGCTAAGCTAAAGGCGAGTGAAAAAATAACTAAGTCAATATCATAATCCCATTTGTTTATTTAATTTTATTTACTTATTCGTTGTTTCATTTATATAATTGTAGATGGATGAATGCATAAAGATACTATGAATTCATGACCAAAAGCACCTGGGAAATCATCGGATCGGTGTCCGAGTTGGCAATGTCAATGTCTAGGATGTCATCTTCCATTCGTCCAGATGTGTTGTGCTGTTGAATTTTTGGGGGTTCCATGTGAGTTTGGGATTTTTCCATTCAAAACTCCATGTGTATCCATTTATTCTAGGGGATTGTCCAGCTAGCCACGTTTGATTCGCCAAGCAGCGCGGCCCATAACGCTCCATAGCATGGTGGAAGACGTCCAGTGCCAAAGTGCCCGGGAGGAAGCAGGTCAAGTGATCCTGCGAAAACATTGCGCGATATATTGGGATGTAATACAGCTTATCATATATATATATATGCAACGCCTGGGTTTTGCCCAGGCGTTGCAGCGTAGGGGTTTCCCATTCCCAAACAAATGATGATGCAACTTCAACGAGTTCCTGTGGGAAAAACAACAAAGGTACCAGGGAATATTAAACTCCCACCCCGTTAAACCTTAAATTCCTATGGGAAAAACAACAAAGGTACTAGGGAATATTACACTCCCACAGGGGTGGTACATTCAATTGGGAAGATCAACAAAGGTACTAGGCTCCCGTTAAACCTTAAATTCCTATGGGAAAAAACAACAAAGGTACTAGGGAATATAAAAATCCCACCCCCGTTAAACTTTACATTCAATTGGGAAGATCGACAAAGGTACTAGGGAATATGTAACTCCCACCCCCGTTGAAACTTACATTCATTGAAGATCTTCAATGAGGGTTTAATTCTCCCCACCCCCGTTAAACTTCTACATTCATTGAAGATCTTCAATAAGGGTTTAATTCTCCCAACCCCGTTAAACTTCTACATTCATTGAAGATCTTCAATAATGGGTTTAATTCTCCCAACCCCGTTAAACTTCTACATTCATTGAAGATCTTCACTAAGGGTTTGATTCTCCCAACCCCGTTAAACTTCTACATTCATTTCTACATTCATTGAAGATCTTCAATAAGGGTTTAATTCTCCCCACCCCGTTAAACTTCTACATTCATTTCTACATTCATTGAAGATCTTCAATAAGGGTTTAATTCTCCCCACCCCGTTAAACTTCTACATTCATTGAAGATCCCCAATAAGGGTTTAATTCTCCCACCCCCGTTAACTTCTACATTCATTGAAGATCTTCAATAAGGGTTTAATTCTCCCACCCCCGTTAAACTTCTACATTCATTGAAAATCTCCAATAAGGGTTTAATTCTCCCAACCCCGTTAAACTTCTACATTCATTGAAGATCTTCAATAAGGGTTTAATTCTCCCACCCCCATTCATTGAAGATCTTCGGTAGGGGTTTAATTCTCCCGCCCCCGTTAAACTTCTACATTCATTGAAGATCTTCAATAAGGGTCTAATTCTGATGATGATGATGATGATGATGATGCGTCGCCTGTCGTCATTGCGGGTCCGGGCAAAACCTAGGCATTTGCCGTATATATATATATATAGAAGATGATCAACAAATCAATACAACTCCAACTGGTGAAAACGTGAAAGAGCGCTCTCTCTTCGAGAGGGGCAATAGCCTCGAGGCCACGAGGCACAGAAGAAAATTTCCCTTTGTGAATGGTGTGCCAAGCAAACAGTCCAGCCACAGCCCACCTGCAACCCCCCCGGCCAGGGTTGCAGATGTGCTTCCGTAGCTCGCACATTAGTTCGCAAGGGGAAAGGGGTGAAAACAGGTGCAGAGAATGAACCTCTCACACTGCCGCGCAAGAACTGCACACGCTCAGCAAGCTGCACGGCCGCGCGCATCTGCAGCCATCCGCATAGAAGAGCGCGGGGCGAAGCACTGGCAATAGGGGGCACGACACCTTATATGGCAAAAACAAGTTTTATACGCACGTGGCCATGAAGGCCGCCCGCCCCAACCTCAGTCAGGGAAAGGGTGGAACGGCTCCACTGTTGCCTCTGTTTGAGGCAGGCTCCGTGCAGCCCCCTTTGTAAATCAATGGAAAGACTCTCCTGCAACCGTTGCCAGGTGTGACCAGGGGGGAGATGTTCACGTGTGTCAACCACCTTTGCCAGAGATTGAAGGAGGGTAGCTGTTTCGCCACAAAACCCACCGGTACTTTCAAGAACGAGCGGTTCAAATCCTAAGTTTTGTCGTGCGCAACGTTGCTGCATGTCGGTGTGTTGCCGTTTCAGGTCCGTGTACCTATCAGCTGCCGCCAGGGGAGTGGTAGCCGAGGGTCGCAACACAGAACTTTGGAATGGGGACGTGATAGCACAATCCAAGGCCAACTTGGGAAACCGTCTCCAGGAAGATTGGTGAACGTCGGGCAAAGTCACAATCAACACATCGGCTGGCCGCGCTCGGGGTTGGTCGGGAAGGAGGTGTGGGGTTTCAAGTGCCGGTCGCGCCCCGGCCCGTGCAGCAAGGCGATAGACCACATTCCTGAATGATGTGTGCATGACTTGCTTGTGTCCCTGGCCCATACAATTCATACAATGATGCCCATAAGTGTCAAGAGGCTGTTGACAGAAAGAACAGGCCATGCTATCATCAAACACGCTAACCCCCAACCGCATAGAGGGGCTGTCACGACATGCAACGTTGGAAAGAAGAGTATCCTGATTCCAGCTAAAGTCCGCGAAGGGTGCTGCGTAAGCAGTTAATCGTGCTTGCCCAACCCTGTCGTGTTGCTGAACCAATCCCAAATGAACATGGTGGTGAATGCGGTTCAACACAGCTTTGTGGTCCAAGTGGGCTTGGGGGTCTCGCAAGCTACTGGCTAGGTCGGGTATGTACGCTGCCAAATGCCGCGCAGCTGGTTCTTCACACTCACAGAAATGGGGAGATAAAGGGGCATGAAGCAATTGTTGGATATGGGGGGCGCACTGTCTATGGGACGCCAGGAATGCCAGGTCCGCCAATGACACAACTTCTAACCCAATTTCAGTACGCCCGGAACTTAACCCCAAACCTCCCAATTTCGTGGGCAGCTTAGCTTGGGTCCATTGGTGGCTACTCAAGGGGCTCCCCAAAAAGGTTTCGAGGGTTTGTTTCTGTCTGTCATGGAAACCTTGAAGCAAAGGCGCAAGATATGTGCGTGGGGTGGTGGGGCACCACCACTGCAATTTGGAAAAGGTCCCCCCATTACGAAACAGGTAATAGGCCACATGTTGGTGGGGCATGGCTTCCAGATTGGAACAAAGAGAATCGCTAAGGTGAGGTCGTCTGTCAAGGCGCCAAAGCTCACGCGCCCCGCGCCACCACCATCACCATCATCATCACCACCACCACCACCATCATCATCATCACCACCACCACCACCATCATCATCATCAACATCAACATCATCAGCAGCAGCAGCAACACCATCATCATCATCACCACCACCACCATCATCATCACCACCACCACCATCATCATCATCATCACCACCACCACCATCATCATCACCACCACCACCATCATCATCATCATCCTCGCGGTTGCCATCATCATGGTCTATCCTGCATTCATGTTCATCATGATCGACGTGTGCGGTGGAAAATGGTGAAGCAAGCCACTGCGGCCGACAGTTCTTACCCAGCCCCACCCCAAATTACGAGGCTTTGAATGCAAATTGCAGATGCAGACCATGCAGACGCTATGGATGGTTGGTTAGCCAGGGGGTGCGGTCAACTACATCCATGATTACAGCCGTGTCAAAGGCAAGTGCTCATTGTCATGTGCCAAGGCAGTGCGAAACATGCAATGATATGATGCAAGATGGCAGGATATGATACAGTATGTACCAGTATGTACGTGACTCGTTGCTGCGGGCAAGTGCGAACTCGATCCAAGGTGCGTTCGCTCAGGTCCGCCGCGTTTCAGTTCCGGGGGCAAGGTGTATAAGCAGCCCGAATTCCTAAGATCCAGGAGGTAAGTCATGCACAGCACATGCAGCATCTACAACGCCCCAAAGCAGAAATACCAATAGAATCTGGTACCCGTAAAGATTGGCCCACCTGGCCCGCAGGCCCATGGTGCACCAAAACAAGGTTGAAATATGCGGACGAACACGGAAGTGGCTTCAAGTACTAGATGGTATGGTTTCTTGCGTTGGGTCCCACTGGGCGGAGTTTAACAACAGCATGATCCTTCAGCCCGAAAGTTTTCAAATCAGTGGCACCTGCCAAGTGGATCAACTGCGAGAATCAGCCTGTTTTCTGGGAATCAGATTTCCTGCCAGAAGCTGGTGCAGGCCCCCAGTGCTGCCTGCACTGCGATTGCTGCAGTGACACGTTTGACCCTTTGGGCTGCGCCAGTCCCACTCCCCGCCGCCAATCCGTGCCTTGCCCCTGTCTATCTGTTGAGGTGAGGCACTCGCTTGGCCCCATGAAGATGTCCAGGAAGGTGACGTGACCACCATGGTCGATCAAAACGTCATCCTTGTGGACATCCCAGGTGATGAACTGGGCCGCAGCCAGGTAGCGCGCGGTCGAAACGACCTGCGCAGCCACCTGACAAAACCAGGGTCACACCAAGCCGGTCCTGATTCATTCACGGGTCGGCTGCAAGTAATGTGTGGAAAATGCCATTCATGACAGGGCCCCTTTGCGACACAGCGTGCCGCAGTGCACAATGCCGT